TAATCAGTGGGGATGTGTGCCTGGGAGGGCTTGGGAAAGAGAATTTGTCTCAGTCTATGAACTTGTCTCCAGCAATACTTCGTACTGTTGCTTTTGACTGATGGCGCTGTGACAGACGTGGAGGCCACATGTGAGGCTGTGGTGCAAGCCTCAAAGCTGCCCATGTCCGTGATCATTGTGGGCGTGGGCGGTGCTGACTTTGAGCTCATGGAACAACTGGATGCTGATGGTGGCCCTCTTCGTTCACGCCGTGGAGAAGCAGCTGTCCGTGACATAGTGCAGTTTGTGCCTTATCGACGATTTCAGAATGTGAGTAGAGGAGTTTGCAGGACGGTGGACGTGGGGTTGAGGCCGGGTAGATAAAAGCCTTTTCATCAAAGTCTGGCAAGGTTGAATTTCAGGTAAGATGTGGACACTTACAGGCTCTCATTGACTTTGCCTTTCTTCTCCTGACAGGCTCCACGGGAGACATTAGCACAGACTGTACTTGCAGAAGTGCCTACTCAGCTGGTTTCCTACTTCAGAGCCCAAGGTTGGGCCCCATTGAAGGCACCTCCAGCTCCAGCCAAGGGCCCTGCACAGCCTCCCCAGACATAGGTTCCCTTGGAGAGTAGGCTATTATCAGTCTGTTTCAAACTTTAGCCCACTCAGTCCTTTAGGCCGTGGACCAACCCTGCACATTTTTACCGTATAGCTGATACGTTTATACTTGCTTCTGCTATTGCTGCTCTTGACCAACCTACCTGCCCTGGACCCATCTCATTCAGGAAAGACTAGTATAAAGATCACCCCTTTCTCGGGGTTACACACTGGTATAGACAGCCTTGCTTACTTTGACCCGAGTCTTTGTTGGCCTTGGCCTTGTTTAGTGAAAGTCTGATAACCCTATCCAAGCAAATTGGGTCTAATCACCCCAGAGACTAACTTTGAAAACAAAGATGGTATATAAAGTAAGCATGTGGTTGTCCCTTCCTCTGGGTGTAGCTGAGCTCGGAACATGATCAAGATGGAAGGTGTTAGAGGTGGCGAAGCTGAGAGAGTGAGGGCTACTAGACCTCCTGTGCTAGGTTTGTTCCCCTGTTCTTTGGGAACACTTGTGTAGCCCAGGATGGCCTGCAGTTCACCATCTGCCTTAACCTCACGGACGCTGGGATGTGCTACTGTGCCTGGTTCATAGTCCTATTTTTTTTTTGTTTTGCTTTTTTTTTTATTTTTTATTTTTTTTTTGAGTTAAGGTCTCATGTAAGTTCAGGCTGGCCTGGGCCTACGTGTGTAGTCAAAGATGTCTTGAATTTCTGGTCCTCTTACCTCCACCTCCTGAGTGCTAGGATTATAAGTATGCCCCACTATGTACGGCTTAGTAGCTTTTTTATATTAGAGATTTAACATATATATTCATTTTGTAAAAACTTTATAGGAGGGACACGTCTTAACCACATTGCCCAGGCTGACTTCAGACTCTTTGGATTCAAGAGATTCTCCTTCCTTAGCTAATGGAGTAGATGAAACTATGGTACACTTGGTGCCTGGTTTGGAAAAAAAAACAGATTTTCTTTTGCAGGGAGGAAGGGAACTTTTAAGTGCAGAATTAAAATTTCACCCAATCTGCCAGTCAGTCATGGTTGTGTACAACTTGAATCCCAGCACCCAGGAAGCAGAAGTATTTTAAAATTTGTTTTCTAATTTGATAAAACATTGTTTAAAAACTGGGTGTGGTGGCACATACATTTAATCCCAGCACTCAGGAGGCAGAGGCAGGTGGATCTTTTGAGTTTGAGGTCAGCTTGTTCTACAGAGCAAGTTCCAGGACAGCAAGAGAGCAAGAGAAACCCTGTGTCCAAAAAAAAAAAAAAAAAAGGAAAAAATGGTTTCAAAATATCAGTATCACATAAAAATAGTTGCCTGGGCAAGTGGTGCACACCTTTAACCTCAGCACTCGTGAGGCAGTGGCACTCAACTTTTTGAGTTGAGGCCAACCAACCTGGTCTACAAAGCGAGGACTGTTACACAGAGAAACCCAGTCTCTGGGCAAGGAGGAGGGGAGATAATGGGAACAATGATTGGTGTTATGGCTGTGATGCCAACATTGGAGTCAAGGCAGGTGGACGGCTGCAGGTTTGATGTGGACTCATTCTATACTAGGAGTTTCAGATCAGACAAAAGAACTTTAAAATATCACATATACTCTTTGTATCTGGTTTGCATTTATTTTGGATGCCTATTACAACTGCCTTGTCTCCTTTTCCAAGTCACCTTCTTCCCCAGATCTCACATTTTTAGTTTGAATTTATTTCCATACCTACATATGGCTAGGTGTCATTCCTACCTTGACTTTATTCTCAGTAGCCTCTTGATGGGCTGTGTGTGTCAGTCTTCATTCTGTTGTTAACAGTATTTTCCCCTCAGTTGTTACTGTTTCATATTTTTATATTCAATGTGAAAATTTTATTTTTATATATGCTAATCTGCTTTTAAAAATGTATCCGTTTATCAATAAACACTCCCTCAGTGGCTACATTTGTTTTGTTTTGTTTTTGGTGCTGGGAATTTGCCTAGGGCCTAAGTCATGCTAGCGTTGGGCTCTACCACTTAGCTCATCTTTGGATATATTTTGGGAGCTGTAGAGTTAAGGACATCTTCCGCTACATAAGACTCTGTTTAAGCTGGGTGGTGGTGGCGCACACCTTTAATCCCGGCACTTGGGAAGCAGAGGCAGGTGGATCTCTGTGAGTTCTAGACCAGCCTGTCTACAAGAGCTAGTTCTAGGACAGGCTCCAAAGCTACAGAGAAACCCTGTCTCGAAAAAACAAAACAAAAACAAAAGACCCTGTTTTAAAAAACCATAGAGAACCTTCTAAGAGGGGGCTGGAGAGATGGCTTAGAGGTTAAGAGCATTGCCTGCTCTTCCAATGGTTCTGAGTTCAATTCCCAGCAACCACATGGTGGCTCACAACCATCTGTAATGAGATCTGGTGCCCTCTTCTGGCCTGCAGACATACACACAGCCAGAATATTGTAAACATAATAAATAAATAAAATATTAAAAAAAAAAAGAGAACCTTCTAAGATTGCTGATTGGAGTAAGTGCTTGCTGCACAAGGCTAACAACCTGAATTCTATTTATAGGATCCATGGAAAGGTGGAAGGAGAAAATTAACTCTACAAAGTTTTCCTCTGACCTCCATTCTAGAGTAGTATGCACACTCAACATACATGTATGAAAAGTATAAACAGAAGCTTAGTGAGGTGGTTCATGTCTACATTCCTAGCATTGGAGTGCCTAAGGCATGAGTATTGCCTTGAACTTTATGAATTTTATGCCAACCTGGGCTACATAGATTGGGAGGAAAATGTATGCAAAGTCTTAAGGGTTTTGCCTCCTGTGGTTAAACTGTCCTCTGTGTATGTGTACTGAGAACTGAAACCAAGACCACGGCGTCTTGCAGACTAGGCAAACTGATGCTCTGCTAGCTCTGTCAGTCCACCTGTCCCCGCCTCCCAAGTGCTGAATTAAAGGTGTGCACTACTATGCCCAGTCTGGGTGTTTTGTTTTTTCAACAGTCTATATAGCACTGAACCAACTGGGCTCAAACTCATAGAAATCCCCCTACTTTTGCCTCCTGAGTATCAAAATTAAAGGCCATGGCCAGCCCTTAGTTCTATCTGTAACCTTCATTTTAATTTGTTTCTAGTACATTTATTTTGTATGTTCCATGGTACACATGGATGTCAAAAGCCAACTGTGGGACTTGGCTAGCTATTATGGGTCTCAGAGACCAAATTCAGGTCCTAAGACTTGGTGGCAAGCCCCTTTCATCCACTTGAGTCATCTTAATGACCCTTAGTTTTTTTTTTTTTTTTTATTTCATTTAAAATTTTTGTGTGAAAGTGCTACAGCATGTGGAGGTCATAGGATAACTTCGTGGAGTTTTCTTCCACCATGTGGGCCCCAGGGATTAAGTTCTGATTGCCAGGCATGGTAGGCTTCCCCTACTGAGACATCTCACCAGCCCTAACCTTAGCTTTTTTTGTTGAACTTTTGAGTGCTTTGCCTGCTTGAGTGTACATGTACCTAGTGCCTGAGAATGCCCTAAGAGGCACCACCTTCCCTAGAACTGGAGTTACATTAGGTTGCAAGCCACTGTGTGGTTGCTGGGAATCAAACTCAGGTTCTCTGGAAGGGCAGCCAGGGCTCTTATCCACTGCCATCTGTCCAGCCCCCAAACCTTAGGTTTTCAGAACACTTGGTGTGGGCACTTCCAATGTCTTCCAATGACAAAATACTATCACCCTAATTTAAACAGGTGGGGAAGCGTTCTGCCTCACATGTCAGGAGGAAGGATCCCAACAGCCAAGATAAATAATGCTTCTCTTTGCTCATGCTAGTCTCTTTTCTCCTCCCGTAGGAACTCTAATTATTTGACTGCCTGTTTGCACTTCCCACCACCCTGGCCAGTTCTTTTAGCCATTACAGTGAAGACTATTAGATCTGATGAACATCACATGGCCTACACCCAAGGCCCTAGAAATGACCAGCTGTATGAAGGCTACCAAGTGCAGATCAGCTTTGCTCAAAAGGTGTCCTAGAAATTTCCAGGTCTTAGCTTTCCGCTGTTTGCCAGAGGAGAGTTTCCCTCTAAATCTGTACGTAGCAAGAACTGAGGACATTTCCAGGAATTGGGGGTAGGGACTGAGCATAAGCATGGCTTCAGCTGCTGAGAGCTCTCCAGCTGAGGAGCCTCGTGAGGGAGGCCCCGTTCTTGGGCTCCTTTTCCCGAGTATGAGTGGAGCGAGTTGCTGCCCGAGTTTCCGTCCCTGTACCAAGGATCAAGCTGCACTGTGTACAGTGTGGAATGTCCACAACACTTTCTCTTGCACATGGTAGACACTGTAGGCACCACCTGCTGCTACTATGTGACTCTGGACTTGAGAAAAGGATGTGTTGAGGGCCGTGTTGTGCCATACTGACCTGCCCCAGGCAACCAGAGCTTGCCCCCAAAGGTGACCTCCCAGCACTGATGCACAAATCTCAACCATCAGCATTTTTAATTGGGTCCCCCAGTGACCCCTGTAGCACTGTCTGCCCACTCCGAGATCCGCACGCCGTGGGCACGGACTCGATATAAGCATGTGAAACGGGGATGGCCCCAGTTGCTTCGAATCTGAATCTTCACCTTGGGGAAGGCTGATGGAGGGTCATTCTGGGGAGACAAACGGGTCATGCCAACAACTGCTCTCAAGACTGTCCTTCCCACCAACGTCTATTGCCCCACCCCCAGAGAAAAACACACCTGTAGGTGGAAAGTTTGAATTTCAGATTTCTGCACATCAAAGGTGAATTTTCCCAAGAACACTTCCGTCTCATCATCAGCTTGGAGCCCCTGGAGGGGAAGAGTGTATGGAGGAACAGTGAGATACAGAGGAAGCAAGGGACAGCTTTGTTCAGGGCCGTCTACACATCCACAGCTACCTGTGCTCTGGTTCATGCTCTAACATAGCATGTGTAGTGTGGAATGTAACAGCCAGGATAGCCTAGCACCAGGGATGCTAAGGCAGGAGTGAGTTTAAGGTCAACCTGGGCTGCACAGAAGGCCCTGTCTTAAGCAAACCAACCAGGCTACTAGAAAGTTGTTAGCAGGGCAGGAAAGATGGCTCTTGCCAAGGACCCACATGGCAGCTCACAGTGCTTAACTCCAGTTCAGAGAACCTACCAGTATCTTCTAGCTCACAGTGCTTAACTCTAGTTTAGAGAACCTACCAGTATCTTCTGACTTTCTGGGGCACTAGGCATGTGTGTGATGCACTACTTACACACAGGCAAAACCACTCACACTTAAATCTTTTTTAAAAAGTAATGTGACTGAGCTTGTAATCGCTCCTTTTAGACCACGATCATTCCCCCTCAGATGGGAGGAAACAACAGTACTTCATAGGTTTTGCAGAAGCAATGAAATAATATATATAGAGCTTAGAAAGCCAAGCCTACTTACTATCTGGATATGGTGATGCTCATTACAGCCTGTAGCGGCCCACATGCGTTATGTCCAGTTTACAGATGAGCAAACAATGACACGCACTGGCAATAGTTCTCACCACCGTCTAGGGTTTCCTAAGCAGACGCTCCACCTCCTGGTCCCCACCCCACTCACAAAGACTGCAAAGTCCCGGGGTGCACTGCTGGCTCCTCCAGTGTGTGCCACAGTGGGTGGAGGATGCTGTAGGGTGATGTCGCTTAGCTGCACATGGCCTGGCAGTCGGATCACCACCTGACCTTGGTCACCTTCAAAGGCCCAGCAGTTTCCAGGGAACACATCTGGCTGCAGGGGTTTAGACAGACTATCAGAACACATGACAAATCCAAGACCAGACAGTACTGAGAACTGGAGGGCAGCCTGAGCTGCAGAGCAAGACCCTGTCCTAGGGCTGCTGCTCAGCCCAGAGCTCTGCCTTCTGCCTTGGTTCTTGCCTGTCCACGTGAGGCAATGCTGAGTCCCCAGCACTTCAGTTCTCTTCAGTTTAACGACATCCTTGGCTTGGCAGGAACCTTCCCACACCATGCCAGCCCCTGCCTCCAGTGGGGCACCTTCTGAAGCCAAACTGACCTCAGTTCCAGTCCTCTCTCCCGGCTCTTGCCCTTTGGCACCATCCCCAGCACCCTGGTTCCAGGCCCACCTCCAGTATGACTGAGGGTGGGCGAGCATAGTTCCAGAAGCTCAAGCGATTCCAGAAGTAGGCAGTGTTGGTGTCTTCATAGTCACTGGACGTCTTCTCCAGGTCGATAGAGGCTCCTGGGTGGGCAGAAGTCACTTTTAGGGACTCCCTGGCTTTCTCATCAATGCCATTATCTAGGTTCCAGAGTCTGCTTCTTTCCACGTGTCTACTACGTCTTACCCACAGAGCTCAGTGCATAGTCGGGTTTCCGCACGAAGTCCTCATTCAGCCTCTGGAACACAAGCTTGGCCACTCTCTAAAGGTAGAGGGTGGAACAGGAGGGTTGCAGTGGCCCTGCTTCTCGGTAACACAATATTCAGATAGGACCTTAAGGGCCTTGGGAAAGAGTCCCCACAGTGGGTATCGGGGGTGAAGATTCATCTCAGGACCCAGGATGTGCCAGTTCCAAAGCGCAGCTCTGTCCCCGAGTCCCCGTGGAGGGGACTCACCTCACTGTGGGCTGCGCGCACGCTGGACACCTCCTTGTGAAGATTATTCAGCTCCTTCTGCAGCTGCTGCAGCTGCTGGCTCTGGGAGTGCACGCGCTGGTGGTATTGGCTGGATTGGGGAGGCAGGTGCCATGTGTTAGCTACCCATCCCCGTGCACGCCTTTCTGAAGGCCCCCAAAGAGAGATTTGCAGAGCTGTCCAGCTCCCACCCCATCTGCCCCTTTTCACCTTAGAGTCAGCGTCTCCTGAGGCTCCTGTTGAGGGAGGGACGAATAAGCAACCTTCTTCTCCCAAATCAGCAAGGTGTGGCTAGACTCCCAGAACCTCCCTTTTTGAGATTTACTACCCTTTCCCTCCCATTCTGGGTTGGCCTCTGGGGATTGCACTCAGTGCTTCCTACACTGCCCCTCCCAGCAACCCAGTGATGCCCTCCCCACAACCTCCACTCCGCCTGGAGACAGTCTCTCCAACTCACATTCTCCAAAATGGGGACCAGGTACAGGAGACCCCACCAGAATACTAGAAAAAGAGAACGGGGCATCCGCTGATATAAGGGAACCAGGAGGAAAGCAAGGGAGTTTGGGGCTGGGGCTGCAGAAGGACTGACAGTGAGAGACGAGACCAAGCGGGGTCACTAGAGTGGGCCGAGGAGCACAGGGACATGTGAGCTGAATTTGGCTGCAAACCTGCAGAGCTGGGGCCCCAGGGAGTTGAAGCTCCTCACCTGCCAGAAAGATGCTCAGGAGCGACAAAGAACTGAACAGGAAGCGGATGGAGCAGACTTCCCTGAAGAACCAGGATGGAAGCCTGAGGCCCTAACCCACCCTAGCCTCGACCCCAGGGTTCTAGCCTTGGTTGGACCCAGCCCTGCTGCCCTTCCCTGAGCCATCCCTGCCCATTCTTCCTCTGACCTGTACACACTGACCAGCGCGTCTCCTGCCACTGATAACAATACACTCAGCACCTGAAAGAGGAGGCCTGGGGACGGGGACAGGAGAAACCTCTCAGAGAGGGCAAGCCACGTGGATGAGGTGGTGCAGGTTCACAAAGGCTCGGGAAGGGCCAGGGGCAAGGTCCTGGGACTCAGGAGGTGAGGGTGGGCTGGGAAAACGAGCCGAAGCTGGACTCTTGGGCTCAGGCTTGGGCAGAACTGGGGTTCCGAGTGCCAGGTCAGAGGGGATCGGGCTGGATTCTGGGACCCGGGCTCGGGAGGAGAACTGGGGTTCCGAGTGCCAGATTCGAGAGAATGGGGCTGTCCTGGCTCGTACTCAGGAAGCTCTTGGACATCCGCGTGGGAGGCATCTCCTGCCTCAGATCCAGGGCCGGGAGAAGGTTGAGTTGCTCCTCCAAGACTTCAGGAGATTCACCCGGTTCTGCGGGAGCGCAGGGCTCCATTGAGGTCTTGGGCACCGCAGTCCCGCACTTCCCCCGGGGCCCGGGCGCAGGCTCCTCAACCTAGTGCTTAACAGCTGGGCAGCCTCTCTAACAGGCCTCGCTCCCGCCGCACCCCCATGCCTGAGTCTCAGTGCGGCGGGGCTCGGGTCCAGGATGCCACTCGCGCTGGTGCTGCGGCGCCTCCTCAGCCAGGCCCAAACACTGGATCGCCTCCGCCCCCTCCCGGGACCGGCCGTGGCACCGTGCCCCGCCCCTCAGGGACTCGCAAGGAGCGCGCCCCCTTCAGGGGCGAGATGGGAACTGCACCCTAGTCCGCGCCGGGCCCCGCCCCGCCCCGCGAGGCCGTCCCGCCCTCTCGCCCCCGGGCTCGACCCCGCCCGCACCCGAGGCCCCGCCCCTCACGGTTGCCGCGCCACAGGCGGTCTGGCCATTGTGGCTCCGAGGCGCAGGCTTCGGCAGAGAGCTTCCTGCCCAGGTGTCTCCTCCGGGCACTCCTGGGCTTATGGCGGGCTCACCACAGCTCGAGCCCCGGGCCCTTCTGCCCTCGGGCTGCTCGAGCTCCGGCCCAGCGGACCGGCGCCCATTGCTGTCCCCCGAAGTCACGCTGTGGGAACTATTGCTGTTCTCGCTGAAGAAGTCGGGTGCGGGATTGTGAGAGGATGCGGCCGAGCCTGAGCGGGGGCTCCGCCGCATCCTGCCCTGGGACTTCCCAGGGGAAGCCGAAGTCGCTGCAGCCAAAGCCCTCGGCCCTCCCTCCGCTGCCGCGCGCCACGGGGGTCAGATCCTGCCTGAGCCCCAAGCGGCGCGGCCGACTCTGCCCACTGCTGCCGTCACAGAGGAACACGTCACAGAGCCGCGTGACGTCACTGGCAGCCGAGCGGACGCCTGCTTTTTTTATGGCTTCGTGTGTGGGACCGGAGGTTGATGTCTGCTATCTTACAGAGATCCTTCTGCCTCTGCCTCTGCCTCTGCCTCTGCTTCCTTAGTGCTGGGATTAAAGACGTGCGCCACTACCACCCGGCTGTACACTTTATTTTTGGGACAGGGTGTCTGTAGCTCTGGCTGGCCTGGAACCTGTTACGTATACTAGGATGTCCGCAAACTCACAGAGATCCCACCCTCTTCTACCTCCTGAGTACTGGGATTAAAGGTGTGCACCATCACCAACCAGCTGGGCTGAAAGCTCTTAGCTTGAACTGCAAACACAAAGTAGAGAACAAAGTGGAAATGGTGCAAGTCTCTAAATTCCCAAAGCTTGACTTCAAGTGACAGACTTCTTCTAACAAGACCACACCTCCTAAGCCTCCCCAAACAGTGCCATCAGCCCTGCACCCAGTGTGTAAGCTGAGGAATGGGAAGTATTTCTCATTCCAGCAACAATAAGCTATTGCTGTGGCCTGGTGTAGGAGGTCCTTCTGTCTAGGTGTTTCTTTCATTAATGAATAAAGAAACTGCCTTGGCCTGTTGATAGGGCAAAACTTAGGTAGGCATGGAAGAGGGAACTGAATGCTGGGAGAAAGGAGGCAGAGTCAGAGAGCCGCCATGGAGCCGCCAGAGATAGGACGCTATGAACCTTGCTGCTAAGCCACTGCCACATGGTGATACACAGATGAATATAAATGGGTTAAATTAATATATAAGAGTTAGCCAATAAGAAGTTAGAGCTAATGGGCCAAGCAGTGATTTAATGAATACAGTTTCTGTGTGATGATTTCGGGAGTAAGTTAGCCGGGCGGCCGGGACCAACAAGCGGCTCTCTCCTTCCTGCAACAGTGGCCCTTGGTTGCCTCCCAGAACTTGAAGGTAAGAATCTATTGCTGCAAACACCATATGCTTTGGATGCAGAACTTGGAAGAATCGAGCTGTAACTTTTCCAGAAGGCCCCTCCTTAAGGCCTAGCTCTCATAGTATCACAGCTATTACATGGGGAGATGCGATGTAACAATCTACCTATCTACTTTCACAGTCTATCCATCTGTAAAGCCAACGAACCCGAACAATGACCAGCTGGTGAAATGTCCCCAGTAGTACAGTAGTGGCACTATTATCTCAAGGGTCACCAATAGCTATTCAGTTGGACTGAAGACCCACTCAGTAGGAGGGAATTCATGCCAGGTGTAAACGTGGCCAACTCTATGTGGCTGAAGGGGTTATAGACTCTAGAGGGGAATCTACTGTTACCGTTTTCCTCAGTCAATAAAGTTTCTAGTTGTATTCTAAGCACTGATACCCGCAGGGAAGTGCAGCTCTCACTCCTCACCAAAGCAGCTTCTTTTTGCAGCACACAGAGGCTATGGCAGAGATTCACAACTGGTCAAAATCCAGAGAATGGGTGACTGTGTATTGTCGGCCCCGAGGTTATACCTGTGTAGGGGACACAGAGGTCCTTGTGCTCACAGGTAAGCAGTAAGGGAACCAGGAATGTTAAGCGATGGGGTTGTCTCTCAAAGGAAGAGATGTATAACCTGCTTCCCACCCAGAAGACTGGGACTGGATGTGCTGTATAGCCTGGTGACTTTTGTGGTCTCTGTATGGCCAGGTCACTCCTGACTCCTCCAGACTCTTGTGTTTGTCTCAGTCATCTTCCCCAAGCCCTTCTCTTGAGCATTGTTTCTCAGTCACTAGAACTCATCTTTACAGAAGAGGCCACATGGACTTTACAAAGAGTGTTGATGTAGTCAAGCCTTAAGATTTATTGTATGCATGGGATGAAGTAATTACCATGAGGAATCCTTTTTCAAAATTGTGCTCTGCTGAAACACGCCTAAAGTAAACTGCCCAGGGTGAGACTCTAGAAGTTTGAACTAACTACTGAGTCTTGTTGAATCCCTCTTGCCTCACTTGAGTGACCCTCTGCTGGCCCTGGGGATCACAGAGACCCCCCCCCCCACATCTACAATGCAACCCCTAACACCCAAGGCTTAGGAAACATGGGAAGAAGGATCAGGAGGATTGTAAGAGCCGGACATGCTTCGCCCATGAAATCTCAACAATATGGTCATCTCAACAAGGCCCACATAATAACAGCAGACATGCCAACCTGGTTAGGGGAATTTCTTAAGGCTCCACCTCTAGGTGAAGCACTACAGACAAACAGTGTCTGGTGAGAGAGGGAGAATCAGTTTTCCAGAGGCAAACATACTGATAGGTTATCCCAAGAGGTCAGTCCTAAGCACATGTAAACAAGAGCTACACTAAATGGGCTCGGTAGGGTGTGTGTGCACATGCTCTAATTAGTATAGAAGAGGTCATGACTTTGAGAGGGAGGGAGTGTTGGGGCACAGGAGGAGTTGGAGAGGGAGGGGTATCTGGAAATGATATAAATACCATGTATGAAATTCTCAAAAAGATTAAGTTAAAAAGCAACCTTTCTTGCCAAGTATGGAGTTCCATGGTGGTTGTTTAGCTTTTTTGTTTGTTTTGAGTGGTTTTTAGATTTTAGGGGCAGGATCTCCTGTAGCCCAGGATTGCCTCAAACTCACTATGTCATGATGACCTTGAACCTTCCATCCTTCTGCCTCCATCTCCTAAATTCTGAGGTTAGAGTAATTTGGGATTAAACCTATGGCCTCCTGCGTGCTAGGCAAGTATTCTACTACCTGAGCGACATCCCCAGTTCTTCCTGATGCCATTAGTGGGACATAAAAGCTTACTCAAGGAGGAGCCATGTTATAGAGCTTGAGGTGTATAACAAGACCCAGTTCTTCGGATGGTCCAATCTTATCTATCATTGCTGCCCTGTACATTCCTTGCATTTCAGTCAAGCTGACCAAATTACAAGTCCTAGGGCACACCAATCCTTCCCACTCCCTAAATGCTGACCATGGGTCCCAGTTTCTGTCTCAGATCCTGTTTTAAAGACTCCCTCTTCAGCAAAGGGCTCTGTCATCCCTCCTCAGAGATTCCCCAGTCCCAACTCTTTCCTACTGTGAAAGTAACTGTGGTATGTTCTTTTCAGGCTTAGGAGCACATGTATTTCACCTTTCCTTGTCTGCATCTCTCCATGTGTAAGAACTCAACAAAAGTTCTGCACATAGGAAGTAATTAAAAGGAATAATTGGGAGTCTGGATGGTGGTGGTGCACATCTTTAATCTCAGCACTTGGGAGGCAGAGGCTGGTAGATCTCTGAGTTCAAGGCCAGCCTGGTCTACAAGCGAGTTCCAGGACAGCCAGAGCTACACAGAGAAACCCTGTCTCAAGAAACAAAACAGCGAGCTTGGTCTACAGAGCAAGTTCCAGGACAGGTTCCAACGCCACAGAGAAACTCTGTCTTGAAAAATCAAACAAACAAACAAAACAAAAAAAAAAAAAAAGGAAGGGAATAACTGGGCCAGGGAGATGGACCAGCGAGGAAAAACTTCTTGCCAAGTCTGACCGATGACCTGCGTTTGCTTGCCAGGCCCCACGTGGTGGAAGAAGAACAGTCACTCCTGCAGGCTGTCTTCTGACCTACACATGCATGCCTTCTGGTTAAGACGCACAAAATACAACTACTATATGTAGGCTAGGGATGCATTCAACCTCTCATTAATTCGACAAATGTAACACTGGGGACAAGGGGTTCATCCAGACAGTGTATCTTTGTGAAACTAGGTCTCACTGTGCAGCTCAAGTTGACCTTGAATGAGAAATTCTCCTGCTTCAGTCTCCCAACTATTGGAATTACAACTGTGTGTTCCATGCTTAGCCCCAGGACAGAAGAAAGGGTTGAGCCAGGTGTGGTGGCACACACCTTTAATACTAGCATGAGGGAGGCAGGAGCAGGTGGATATTTTTGTTTGTTTGTTTTTGCTTTTTTGTTTTTATTTTTTATATCTTGTTTTTCAAGACACGTTTTCTTGTAGTTTTGGATCATGTCCTGGAACCCACTCTGTAGATCAGGTTGGCCTCAAACTCACAAAGATCCATCTGCCTCTGCCTTTCAAGTGTGCTGGGATTAAAGGCATGCGCCACTACCGCCTGACACAGGTGGATATCTGAATTAAAGGCTAGTCTGATTATATAGTGAGTTCCAGGACAGCCAGGGCTATACAGAGAAACTCTGTCTCAACTCGCCCCCCCCCAAAAAAAACCCCCAAACCAAACCAAACCAAAAACAAACAAAAAAATTTTTTTTATTTATGTATGTCAACCTGACACAAACTAGGGTCATCTTAGAAGAAGGAACTGCAATTGAGAAAATGTCCCAGTCACACTGGCCTGTAAGCAAGCCTGTAGGGCATTTTCTTGATTAAAGATTGATTTAGAAGGGTCATATGAGAAGAAGGTTCATCAGCTGAGAAAATTCCACATAAGATTTGGGTGTAGGCAGGTATACAGGCGTGCCTACACCTGTAGGGTGTCTTAATTAGTGACTGATAGCGGGGAGCCCAGTCTACTGTGGGCAAGGATAACCCTGGACTAGTGGTCCTAGGTCCTATTAAAAAAAAAAAAGCAGGCTTAACTGGAGCTTCCATGGCCTCTGCATGAAGCTCCAGCCTCAGGTTCCTACCCAGTTTGAGTTCCTGCCTTGGTTTCCCTCAAGAAACCCCAACATTTTGGGGATGCCAATACCATGGGATGACCATCAAGGACAGCAGCAGTTATGGAGTGGTGACTTAGGATATGAAAGTCAAATAAACCCTTCCCTCCCCAAGTTGCCTTGTGTCAAGGTGGTTCATAACAGCAGTTAACCCTAACGAAGACAGAAACTGGTACTGTGGACGGGGGTATTGCTTTGACAATCCTGACCATGTGTTTTTCGGAGGACTGTGGAATAACTTTGGAACACTGTTCTAAAACAGCCATTGGGTGTTCAGAACGGGATGAATAG